ATAATGCGGGTTGTCCCCAGCCAATTGTCCTATACTGAGTTATACAAAGTGTCCCGGCGCCCTCTGGTGGTCAATCGGTGCATCTATACCCTAACCTGCTCTAAAATTTTATTTTTTGTGAAACTTTGCCCTGTTTGGGGGTCCGCCACGGACTTAGGGTGGGCGTTAAAAATCGGGTGACCCGGGCATAAGGGTCACGAGGGTTGGCCCTTTAATGGGGCCCCGGGCCCGTGACCCTGTGACCTTTAGTTTGGCCCCTAAAATTTTTCAAAAAAGGCAGTTTATTGCCTCCTCCTGGCAAAAAACTCTCTCAGTCCCCTATTGTGGGTTAGGGTAAGGGTCTGGCTTAGGCCATATAAAATAAAGCTGTGATATTAAAGTCTTCAGTTGTGCTTCAGATCCATGTATTGTAATATCACAGAAAGCAAATGAGGGTATACTGCTGTATGTTTCAAGCATATTGCTGTAATCGATAGAGCGAAGGCCATGCAAAGCTTATCCAATTATTTATTGTAAATTTACAATGCAACTTTTTGCAGTGTAGTTTTACAGACTTATGGACTTATTGACTTTCATGCGTTTTAGACCCTTTCTATGGCCTGAACCTCAACCTAATTCACAACTTGTAGCTCTAAACTAACCCCTAGATTCGAACAAAAAAGTTGGCACCAAAAAAAAGGTAATCACTTTGCATTCTTCGCCTTCTGGGGTCAGGACCTCGACACCTTCACCACACCGCTAGAGTGCGGACGAGAGTTCAGGGTCAAGTTCGACAAGGTCAGTTTGGTCGCAGCCTTTATCTGCTCTCCGACCAACAGGTTTAGAGAAAACCCCCAAACTTCCTGATTGTTTTCTCTATCTGATCTTTGGTCCCACCTGCCTTTCTCATCTGTAGGACACTAACTTCCTTGGCCGCGAGGCGTTGCTCCAGCAGCGTCAGGAGGGAGTGTTCCGCCGGTTCGTAATGCTCGTCCTGGAAGACCACGACACGGAGCTGGACCTGTGGCCGTGGTGGGGCGAGCCCGTTTACCGCAGCGGTCAGCTGGCTGGAACAACCACCAGCAGCGCCTACAGCTACACTCTGGAGCGCCACGTCTGCCTGGGCTTTGTGTCTCCGCCCCCAGGCCCAGAGGGCCTCCCCACGCCCATCACCCCCGACTTCATCAACCGTGGCGATTACGAGGTAGACATAGCGGGACAGCGCTACCCAGCCAAAGCAAAGCTCTACCCCTTCAGCTCCCTCTTCGCCCAACAGAAACGGCGCAAGGAGGACATGGAGCTCAGCAACTTCCAGGGAAAGTGAGGCAGCGGTGGGATCAGTTTCCTCCGACACTCCTTAGATCACATCCACTCCAGATCCCACCCAGTGCCAATGTCTGCTCCATTTCTGCCACCATACGATGGGCTGGCTGTACAAGCACTCCCCGTTAATCCTCTAATATTTAAATTTCATGTTTCATCCTCTGCTTTTAAAGTGCAATATTTAAGAACCTATTGCTTGAATTCTCATAATAATAAAACCCAGTTTGTTTTTCCCACCATGTGCAGATCCTGACTGCAGTGCTGCTGCAGTCATTTGCCTTTCTCAAGGCAAGATCAACACTAGCTGTTGCAGACTATATTCACTGACCTTTAACCCGTCCTGAAGGAGTTTATATACCGACAGCTTCAACTGCTGCACATTCTGAAAGAAGCTCAGTGCAATTTCAAAGTTTTACTAGCTGTAAATCTGCTGCTGCTGATTCAGATCCTTTATATTCTCCGCCTTAAAACGCTTTTATGTCAAACTAATTTTCTGTAAATGGGATGCTGAGGGTCTGCAGACCGGTCCGCCCGCTGCGCCTCGCCTCATCCTGCTGCAAACACTTCCTGAAACTCCAAATCAGGACAGCTTCTTCCTTCTCTGTCGTTATCCGCCGAGAGCTGCTGTAGTGTTTTTAAATGTGTGCTCCGATGGTGAAAAACATATTTATGTTCTCCATTTTGTTTGGTTCTCTTGAAACTTTGATGCACTTTGGAGGTTTTGGTTGAGTTTTGTTGAATATGCGGCTGATAGGAGAGCAAACCGGCCCTCGTATTCGTGCTGTTTTCAGTCCTGCATATGTAAGAGTTTGGAGATATATTCGTGTAAAAGCAAAGATTTCATTGCTGTTTCAAATAAATGTATTTTTGTATAAGCTAGTGTGTTTGAGTCTGCAATGCTGTATAATGAATTTCTTGTTGTGGATCTTCCCACTCATAAAAGTAGAGCTGCAGTGGTTCAGTTAAAAGGAAAGTAGACCTAGTAACTTACAAGAAACATTTAAGTCAGAATAAAAGCAGTTTTCCTTGTAATCTGACTAAATTACGAATATGTCTGTTAGCACTAAACACTGCATGGATCAGTGTGTTTAAATCCCTGGACTGCTTTGCTGTGTGGAAACTAAAGCAAAAACTCTCTGCAGAGACTCCTCATATTTATGCATGAGTCACAACATAAACAGCCAAATAACAGAGGCGATTGCTTATTAATAACCTCTGCCTCATAATTTCCCTGAGACAATACGTGAAGGGCAACACAGAGCAGGCAGAGTTGCATAACAAAAGCAATTTATTAGCATAATACAAGTTAGCAGGCATCACATCCTCCTGGCTTTACGTGGGCGGCATCCGTTGTGCGGCACGGGGGTGTTGTTGGTGATCGATACCACCTGCAGGCCGCCCATCGTCAGGCCTTTGATTGCAGACTGCACAACAGACAGTAACACAGTCAGTCATTAAGGTAGCTGGAGGGAACCCATCAGGCTCTGCTTGCTTTAATTACTCCCATTGTGAAAGAAGACCCTACATTTATTTCAGCCCTACTCAGTTTTCCATTAAAGGGGTGATAGAATGATTCTACAGGATATTTGGTCCCTAAGGTCTCTTAATAGGGTGTGTAACATTGGTTGGGCTGAAAATGGCATATTTGCTGTTCTATGAGCCCTAATCCTAGCCTGGTTAAAAGCCCTAGAATGAAACGACAGGTTTTCTTCCTTTTATGGTACGATCATGAATATCTAGATGAGCTGTGCGCTGATTGGTTGGTTTACAACGAGCAAAGCTGCTGAGAAAAAACGCATCATAGCAACAAGCACTCACTCACTGAAACATCAAATTGGTGATATGGTAGGGTGACCAGACGTCCAGACGTCTAAATGCATCAATCATGGCATTTAGAAAATCAGCATTAATTCAGAAGTAGCTTTGCTTTAATTTTACCAGACTACTGTATATTACTGCAGTATCCTGCTGGCTTTATTTAATTCTGGGGTAATCTAGACTGGTTGAATCGTTGTGCTTCTTGTTTGTAAAAAAAAAATGTCCTTGTTATTGTGACACTCAGATTGACTCAGATTACTTGTTTTATTTTTCTGTAAAGCTTTTACTGCTTCTAGCAAATATGTCCACATTTTCCCTGCAGTCTCCCTGCAATATGAGCTTTAAGTAGTGATTGTGAGATGAGGCGTCATGAGGCATTGAACCATTTGGCCAAATTGCTTCAACGATCCCCACAGTTCATGTAGCTTCATTTGAAAATGTCACCACCTACTGGTGGGATGCAGAACTACAGTTAGTAATAAAATCTGTGATTTTTTTTTGCATTTTTTTCTTGTTTTTCTTCCCATTTAAGTTCATTTGAAATTGTTAATTATTGGTGTATATTATAAATTTTTTTCTGTGTGTAAAATGTCTTAGAAGAGAACAATGATTTTAGGTACACCGTTTTTCTGCCATTTTGGTGAAATAAGCTCAAGCAGACAGGGAAGATGCTTGTGCAAATTGGGCAATGATGAGCATAATGAGAGGTGTTAGTCATTTGTATTCAAACATAATAGTTTTTCCTCAGTTGTCGGTTTTAATTGAGTTGGAAGTTATATGTTCAACCAATCTTTTGGCTAAAGAGCCAATCTAATTTGGCAGTGTTTTTACCCACTCTATTTTTTCACTAGGGCAAACCAATACAAAATAGTCACATTAGCCAAAAAATTTAAGTATAATAACAACTTTCAAAAGTCTAAGGTGGGTCTTGAACCATTAACCTCAGGGATAAAGGACAATGTCTTACAGCTGACGCCACCAACATTAAAAACTCACAGCAATAGTACTTAAGACTAAGGTTACAACTGTGCCCAGCGGCTTGCTTAGATTTTGATCATTACATTGTTTAAACTAACTAAAATATTTTTAACCAACTAGATCGGTTGGAAAAACAACAAATCTGTTGTTTGTATACATCCAAACATTATCTAACTGATAGCAACTCTCATGCAAACTCCCACATCCTGACTGAGTAGTGAGGCTGTTTAAATGCCTGTCGAAGTTCATGCGCTTTCTGAACCACTTCCTGAAGCGGTCACGCGTGTCACTGTAGCAAGGCTTCGGCAGAGGCTTAACCAGAGAATTTTTATAAGGGTGGCCATTGTACACTGAGGGGGGGGCGAAAGTGGATAGATGCCAGAACCCAAGGGTCAATCTATACTGTTCAACGCGAAAATTAAGGAGCAAAACATCCATAATTTCTAAATAAAGACTACCTATACTTTCCAAAAGCTTTTGCTAACAAGTAGATGCATATATTTAAAAATCCATGCTTCCTAGATTAAAGGTATAGTGGATAAAATTCTTTCAGGTGTAAGTTCTGGGGTGAACATCTTTTCAATTGTTATTATGTAATTACTTTTATAAGTAATCATTCTGCATAAAATTGATATTTACAAGTACTTATATCTACATAAAGCAAATGTCTCCACTGTGAGACCAACAAAGTCATACATTGATTGTTTAAAAAGTTTTTATTAAAATACTTATTTATTTATGATTTAACCAAAGACTCCTAGCTGACTTGCATATTCTCTTGTGTATATA